AGACTTAAAAAAAATAGAAAAACAGGTAGTTACGAGATAGATGATCAAGGTTCCTGATCTGAATTCCCTTGAAATATCATTATTACTGTGGGTCACCCTCTTTCTTACCTTCTGAACTATACAAGGCCTCTCTCTCCTACAAGCTTTTGTAATTGTACCTCTTATATGATGTCTATCAGCTCCGAGCTTTTTTTTTTTTTTCTTTTTATGTGATGCTGATGGTGGAACCCAGGGCCTTCCAAAGGCTAGATAAGTGCTCTACTTGGGGCTATATCCCCAGACTTTTTTACTTTTTATTTTTAGATAGAGTCTCACTAAGTTGCCCAGGCTGGCTTCAAACTTGCCATCCTCCTGTCTCAGCCTCCCAAGTCACTGAGATTACAGGTGTGCACAATCATGCCCAGCTAACACTGTAGGTTTTCAATCTGTGCTAAGTCTAAGTGACTTTGCATGAGACTATAATAGCTATATCAAAATAGCTTTTTTTAAAAAAATCTGATTTTCTTCATAAAACAATTCTAAGAAATATACATCACATTGATATGCATATACACACAATTCCACTCTAGAAAAAAGAAACATACCCCTAGACCAAAAAAAAGGTTTAAAAATTTTTTATTATATCTTCATTGTGAAAAAAATACATAAATGTACTTTTTGATATGTAAATAGTGTATGTGCAATATTATAGCCTTTCCTGATTAATATACAAATCTTCTCAAGTCATTAAACATTATTTTACAACATAAGTTTTTCAATTGCATAGTGTTCCCAAATATGAATACACCATATTCACCATAATTTAATCTTGKTTTTTTGTTGGGGGGGCAGTGTTGGGAATCAAACACAGGGCYTCACACAAGCTAGGCAAGTGCTCTACTACCTCTGAGGTCCGTGCCATATCCCCTCCTTCATTGTTTTAAATTTTTTATTCCTTTAAATGATGCTGAAAAATATATGTATTAAATGCTTCTCCACATTTCTTATAAATGGCAGGGCTCTAAAAAGGACTAGTTAAWCAAAGTTTTTAATCTTGTAAAAGTTTCCAAGTTTACAACTACAGATTGCTTATGCCAGGCAAACCTCCAYCATGAGCTTCAACCCCAGCCCAATTTTGCCAATATCCATCATGATTTACAACCAATTCTATCCAGAGGAATAAAATTCAGTCAAAGAACCAACATACTTCTGGTGAGTATTGCCAAACTGTCCTCAACAAAAGTAGTCCTGATGTACATTTTCTCCAGCAGTTTACACATCTCAGTYCCTTCATCTGCATTTCTTCACTTGCATAGCATTTTGAAATCAGCATTCATAACTTCCCTACCCTCTCTCCTTTCTCTCTTCTAGTTTCCTGTTGCCCCATATTATCTAAACTGCTCCACTGCCCTTCCCAAACCTGTTTTCACTTGTGTTTTTCCACTGCTCAGGCGTTATAATGGCTCTTTTATAACACTGAAATTAGCCTAGTTAGTATTTTATCCCCGTAGACTCTTAGTATCAACCAACTAATCTGATAAACTAATCCATGCTAATGTAAAAGGGGTCATTCCCAGCTACACACATGCAATGTAACTTGAACAGATTAAAGAAAATGTATTATCTATCACAGAAATACATTTATTTTATAAAGCAGTGTCTTTCAAGGTTTTCTGCAATTTAAATCACCTGGAGGAAGTTCTAAAAACACTTGTTAAAAATCCTTATCTTCCAGAGATACCAAATAAATTTGGCATAGGCTATGACCTGGGCATCAGGATTTTTTAATGGTTTCTAGGGTATTCCAATGTAGCATCTGTATTTGAGATGAATTAAGAGATAAATCCTAAGTARCTATTTATTTATTTATGGTACTGGGGATTGAACCCAGGAGCTCTTGACCACTGAACTACATCTCCAGCTCTTTTAAGTTTTTATTATCCCTAAGTAACTTCTTAGGAAATATTGGAGGACTTCAAGGAACAACAGTGCAATGAACATATCTCAATAATGTGGCTCACTGTACAAAATAAAAGTGATAAGAAGTGGTAGTAAAGGGTAAAGCACTTGAAAAAGAATAAAGCAATACTCTTGACTCTTGATGCCAGCTAGGCAGGTGCTGCTGTGTCAGGAAGTAGGCCAAACTTAATCTTCTAAATGGCTTCCATTACTTTTACAATGGAGCCAACCAATGAAAACTAAAWTTATTTGAATAACATGGTTTATGCCATGCAATTCAGTGGTAGCTCTCTAGGTTTCAAGGATATAAATGACTTCCAATTTACATTTATTTTATTGCTTCAACAAAATTAGGTAACCTGATAGATTTTCCCCACAATTCATAGTGGATCCTTGGAGACAACTCYTGGAATTACACATACCAGGCATTTAAGTACAGTACTGGGGTGGGAAACAATGGCTGACACTGGGGAGGCTGAGACAGGACAATCAAAAGTTCAAGTCTAGCCTCTTCAACTTAGCAAGATCTTGTCTCAAAATTAAAAAATAAATAAATAAAAAGGGCTGGGGATACAACTCAGGGGTAGAGCTGGGTTCCATCCCAGTACCACAAAATAAACAAATGCTACACGCATAGCCCAGGAATGTATGAGTGTATGCATTTGTTTACACTCATACATTGCCTAGGATACACAGGCTCCAGGTTGATTCATATTTTACAGGGAAAACTCAGGAAAATGGCTTYACTGAGAAAGATATGCTTTCATCTGTTCTGAATGATCTTATTTATACTTCACAATGCAGAAGARAAATGACAGGAGTCACTTTTCAGCCAATCTACTCCAATCCAGGGTCACAGTGTAAGGTGAAGATTCTTGTCACCTCATCTATTGATAGGCCCTGGCATTACAATCTTTCCATTTCCAAACACTAGCTGAGGGCACACTGGGGAGAACCCTATACAGCCTCACTCTTGATGGTTTGGTCACCTAGGTAGGGAAGATAGTTCTTTCTACAAACCCTGTTTTCCCCACATTACTTATAATAAGGGAGATTTTCTCAGTGACCTGAAAATTAAGAATATTGTCTGCAGACAACAGGTTTCTTTTTTCATATTTTCCTTATTTATATATTTATTTTTGGTACCAGGGATGAACCCAGGGRAGCTTAACCACGGAGCCACATCCCCAGCCTTTTCTTATATTTTGGAACAGGGTCTTGCTGAGTTGCTTAGGGCCTCACTAAGGTGCTGAGGCCAGCATTAAACTTGCAATCCTCCTGAGTCCRAAGGCATGGGCCACCATGTATTTTCAGCATGTGTTTTCCTTATTTCTATTGTAGATGTCCATTTAACCTACGCAGGTAAACACCACTGTTCTCCAGAATCTTTGAAGGGTGTTACTTTCAAATTATATAATCTCATAAGGGAAGAGAGGGATAGCTGGGCTTCCTACATGAAGACTGATTTTTTGGTTTTGATTGATATCAGTGCTAGAGAATGGAATGGTCATTGTTTTGTCATGTCAAATTTTAATAAGCAGWTGGAAAAGAAGGAAGTCTGTAGCTTCATAGACTTTTCCTAATGGACAAAAGAAGACTTGGAGGTGAAGAATGTGGCTGGACTGGGGAAAAGCAAATCTGTACTAGAAGTGTACTACAATGCCCTAGGAAGGGRACTTTTTAATAGCACAAAGCCACACAGCCTATGTAATTCTACACATAGTGGCTAGAAAAAGGAAATGTAAACCCTCTAGGAAAATCACATTTTTAAAAAATCTCTTTGTCTAGTTGTCATTTCTGAAAAAAAAAAAAAAAAAGAACTTTACAAAAATAACCTGAGATTAATGTTCAAGGTTGGAGGAGGGAGATCATTTGATTTTGAAGGAGGGTTAAGAGTTTAGATAAGACATATGGCCTGGTGACCCAAGCCTGTAATCCCAGAGACTAGGGAGGTTAAGACAGAAGGTTAAAAAGTTTGAGGCCAGTCTGGGCAACTTAGARACCCAGTCTCAAATAAATAAATAAACAATAGGAGCTGGGGTATAATTCAGTGGTGAAGTGCCCCTGGGTTAAATGGCCAGTACCACCACCACCAAAAAAATATAAATAAAAAAGAGTTGAGTTTAGTTTAAATAAGGTAGGCTGCTCAGAAATACTGCCCAATCATAGGGCTTAGGCTTGGCTGCAGACTGTAGTTCTGACTGTAAAAACAATGCCTCTTCCCATGGAATAAACCAGTTYCCTTTCCCTATCTGGTGTGGATAGAGGGCACACACCCACAATTTAATGGCGAGAAATGTTACCCTTCCAGGTTAAGGCACAGTATCCTGGCTCAGGCAAAGATAATCTCCTTGACAGCCAAGGTCATAAAATAAATGCTGTGGGACAAGCACGAAACACAAGGACTGCCACTGTCTCTGCCACCTTTTCAGCCAGCCGGGCCTTCTGGCCTCCTTTCCTGGCCTGAGCTGCGAAGTGCCATGGATGAAATGGGAGATCCGTGCGGTTCCTCAAGTACTATCAGAACTGGAGCCCTGCCCGCAGTCCCCGGGAATGGAGCGCGCCAAGGCCAAGGGGACATTGGGATGACTGTCCTTGCATGGTTCTGCTTTTAAGGTGGCTATATTCCTTGGAATTACAGCCTGTTTTCCCCCCAACCTCCCTACAACATTTTAACTCATTCTCTGCCGGCTCCTATAGGAGAACGAAAACGAGGGGGGAGCGGTTTAGAAAATGCTGAAGGATTTGGCTTTTGACATTGCAAACCAAAAAGAGGGCGATAATTAGAGCAGACGCGAAGTTAAACAACTGTCAAATTCTGTTCAAGAACTTAACCTCTTCCATCACACACGCAGACCAGGCGACACAGATCGAGCCCTCCGCTAGGAGAAGGAGGCGAAGGCGATGCTCTGAAAATGTCCGGCTGGGCCACCTTAAAAAAGCGATCGCCTCACTGCGTTAGCAAAATGTGTTCTCGTGGAACACGAACRAGAAATTTTGCTTCCCCATCATATATTTGCTTAAGAGGAAGGAGAGAGAAGCAGCGCCCGGCTGCGCCTCACCACTTGCTGTGCGCCCCGGAAAGTCGCGTCCAGCAGCATCAGCTTCCAGGGATCCGACACTGAGCTGGGCAGCGGGATGTAGACGTAATAGGCGGCCAGCGCCACCAGGGCGGTGAGCAGAACACAGGACGACTTCATCCTCCCCCGGATCCTCTCGCCCGTGGGTTGACAAGGAGGAGAGAGCGATACCACCTAGAGACCTCCAGCAAGTTTCTGCCAACCGCAGCTGTTCATTCACGTGTTTCTTATAACCCCAGGAGCCAATCACAGACGGCGTCGGGAGGAAGTCGGAGCTCTGACGTGCCCCCCTCTTCGGTGTCCTTGCAAAGTGTTGCAGACGCTCCAGGTTGGAGGAAGCTCCGGCGGCGCTGCGCTGGACGTAACACAGCGGACTCTGGAGGACACTGCTTTGTATTGCATGCCTGTGACGATCGGCCTCCTGAACGTTCTCAAATGGTTGAAAACCGAATACTTTGAGTGTGATGGGTCTCTGTCCAAGCACGTGAGTCATTCTGACTCAAAATGGAGATACAACTGAGGAAGATAATAAAAAATTTCTCTCCAATCGCGCGAGGTGTCACATGCTTGCAAACCCAGCAGCTCRGGAGGCTGAGTTAGGATAGGGTGGCAATTTTAAGGCCAGCCCCAGCAATTTACGAAGCCCTAAGCAAGTTAACGAGACCGTCTTTCAAAATAAAATAAACGAATAAAAAGGGCTGCAGATATAACAGGCAGGATGTAAGACAGTGGTAAAGTGCTCCTGGGTTCAATCCCCAGTACAAAAAAAAAAAAAAAAATCCTCTCTAGACCCTCGTAGGGAATGAAAGTTCTAATTGATAAGCGATGAAAAGAAATTAATAAATTCCTATACCTTAAACAATGACTCACCAGCATTACCTCTATCACCTAAGTCTTGGTTTAGAAATCCTATTCTCCAGTGGTGGCTCTTTGCCACAGCTTCTTGGAAAGAAGGCTGATTCCAAAGCTGGGACAGGCAAATTACAAGACAAGGCTGTTGCACTAGAAGAAATTTTGTTAAGAAACAAAAATGATGGGGACTGGTCAGAAAGTCACTGGTGGAAGTTTGAAGGGTCTCCTCATCTCTAAACTATAATAATTTTAGGATCAAAATAAATTATCACAATGATTATAAATCACTGAATAAGATAATCTAAGAGTATATACTAATATAAATGAGTAAATACATGGGGATTTCCTTAAAATAGAATGTCAATTATTAACCACAGAAAATCATAAATGAATGCTAAAACTAGCAGATGAAAGTTTGACACAATAAAAAAAAAAGAAAGTTTGACAAAAAGTTTTCTTTTCTCATCAAAATCTCTCTCCATAAATTAGTAATTACAAAGGGAAAAGTAATGACTTTATAATGGAGAAACCTGGTGGATAGCACCTGAAACAATTCTTCCAGTGGGTCAGTGGAAGCACTGGAATCTGCCTTTCCTGGGGTTGGGGGCAGGGCAGAGGAGTATGGAATGGAAGAGAGAAAACTTCACTAGCAGAATTACAACCAGAAATCAAGATGGAAAACATTTAGAACTGTTTCAAGGAAGTGCAACTCCAAACCTATTAACCAAGGCCTTGAAACACCTAGCATATATACTTATTCATTTTAACTTACCAATTTAAATTTAATTTAATTAATAGAAGTGAAATAACCATAAATGTGGGAGTGATGATGAGATTATTAGGAGAAAGTTGGTTTTTCTGTTCAAAGTCAGAGGTAAACATTTGTAAGAAGGACATTCTTCAAAAGTGTTTCAAGCATAAATTTGAGATAGTTGTTTTCTTTTTTAAAATTGTAGTTACTGGCTAAGCACATAACTTTAGTCAAATAGGTTGTGTATGTTTGTAGGTGAGCATGTGTGCATGAATTTAGAAGCTAATTTTTGTGTGTGATTAGAAATAATCCCAAAAGTCAGGTGCAGTGGCACATGCCTATAATCTTAGCTACTCAGAAGGCTGAGGCAGAAGGATTGTGCCTTCAAATGGACAATTTAACCCAGGCTAAATCTCAAAATAAAATAAAGAGGGCTGAGGGATGTAGCTCTGGCAGAGCGCTTGCCCTGCATGTTCAAGGCCCTGGGTTCAATCCCCCATACCACCAAAAATCCCAGAGACATAACTTTACTTGTTTTGTGATAATTTGGAAAATAATTAAAAGTTTTACCTTGTAGACTTTAATATTTTTCCTGGATTTGACTACATTCCTAAAATCATAGATTTTAGAGCTAATGAAAAAACTAAACCAAAAACCAAAACCCACACCTGACTCAGCCTTTCATCTTCAACCTGTAATAACAAACTCAGTGTTATGGATGAGTCTCATAAGGACCAGCGCAGCTGTTCATATCCTCTTGTTTGGAAGTGATGGAACCAATATTTCTTTCTTCTGCCTCCCAGAAAAGGGTAACTTCCCAGAAGCAGTAGATTAAGAGATACAAACTAAGAAAGAACAAAAAACTGCAATAATTCTTGGTGGCTTCTCTGCAGATCTGAGTTTTTAAAAATGAGACCAGTTAAGATAAATAAACACAGTTTTCCTTTGTCATTTCAGTCATTTGACAAATACACTTGGCCTTCACTGGGCAATAAAGGAGTTGGAAGATAGYAATGCCATAAGATCTGTTCTTTTTAATTTTTACATTTGGGGTTGGGATGGACTATAAGGAAAGTACAGAGAGCAAACAATAAACAAATAATAATAGTGAAATTATACTGAGTATTTACTCTGAGTCAAATTCTGGGGTAAAACTTTGAATGTATTATCATTCAGTTTTCATAATAATTTTGTGAAGTACTATTATTCTGAAACCAGAGGCATTGAAAGGTGAAGTACTTTGCCCTAAGTCATCCARCTAGTGAGAGGTGTAACTGGGATTTGAGACCAGAGTCTGGGCCTGGTGCTCACATGCTTTACCATTCAGCTCTACTGCTAAGAGATTAGGTATGTGAAGAAAACAGAACAAGGTGGTTCTGTGGCCAGAGGTTGCTTTAAATTAGGTGGGAAGAGGGCTCTATGTGAGGATGCCATTTTAGTATCTAAATAAGGAGGAGCAGCCTTGGGGGATACAGATATCAAGGGAGAAGTGTGGAGGTTCTAAGATGCCCACCAAAGAACACGAAGAGCACTATTGAGATAAGAGAAGTGCTTAAGGGATAATGGTACAGGTCCAGTCAGAGAGGTAGGGAGGTGTGGGAAGGCAAGTTGTATAGTACCAGTGAGCCAGGGTTAAATAGTCTGAATATTCTGGTGYAGTGGGAAATAACTGGAGACTCGGAAGCAGGGAAATAAGGTGATCTGACCTAAATTTGACAAGGTGTGCTCCAACTGCTCAGTGGAGGACAGAAGGTCTAACAGGTATTTTGTGGAGAAGCCCAGATAAGAGACTATGGTGGCCCAGAGTGGCAGCTTAGCAATGGAATGCAGGTAAAGCAACGAATTTAGGATAGAGTTATAGGAGATAGGACACACTTACATAGATTCTGCCAGATGCAGTGGTACAATCCCAGCCACTTGGGAGGCTGAGGCAGCGGCTTCACAAGTTCAAGGCCAGCCTCGACAATTTAACAGGAACCTGTCTTAAAAGATTCATAAGTTTGTAAAAAAAAAAAAAAAGCTATAAAAATAAGTATATAAAATTTATAAACATCTTTAAAGAGTTTTTTATTTACTCAGAATTACATTCAGCAACATTTTTAGCAATGTG